ACATTACAGCACTTTCAGAACCTCTTATTGTGTCGCAGTTCATTGTTTCCACTGGACATTCCCACCTTTCAGGCTAAAAAAACTGCATTTATGAATATAGTAGGCTTCCCTGGTGCGCACAAGCAGGGGAATGAACCGTTAATCATCATTCTAAGCCAATCAAATACCTTAGGAAATTGACAGCATGGTAAAAAAAGGATTTATATAATGTGCGTGTGCGTGTGTGAGAGTAATCTCTATACTTAAAATTGCTCTTTTTTTTCCTTCTTAGACAACCAACCAATCACAGTCTTCAAAAGATTGTCAACGGGGTCAACCAAGATGAAAGATTTCGTCTTTTCCTTACTCAGAGTTGCTCTCAGATCGGTCCCGAATCGCTCTTAAGCTAAGACTCCTACATAAAAGTTTTTATGCTAAATTAAGAGTTTTCTGAGAGGATTCTTAGAATCTTTATGAATACAGGCCCTGGTTCATAAGTTAAAAAAAAGTTGCAGAAACACCTATAGATAATCGAATGACTTCAATCATAAACTTGAATCATAAATGATTTTGTGTTTGGATAAAGGATATATTTCTACAACGACATACAGCAGTGTGAAGACCAAGTATGTGCGGGTGAGCCGATATTTGCCACACCCCATAAAAAGTTTGGCCTCGACAATGAGGTTAGAGAGCAGGAGTTAAGTGCGGACCACTTGAACATCAGCCATTCCGTCAGCGTGTCCCATTAGGAAATCAGTCTAACAAATGTCTGATTGCTCCCATTTCCCTGTTCACCAGGGCACAGTTCCTGTCTTTAGTGTTAACCGCCGATTCTGTTTAATGGGCTTTCGGGGAAAGATTGATTACAGCGATGTCTGGAAACAAGCATGACCTCACACACGTGAACAAAACACCAGAGATAACAACCCGTGACCTTAACTGATTGCTGGGAGAAACAATGTCCAAAAAAATCAAAAAGCGCAGGCAGGTCATTCATCTCCGCCAACCTATGTAAACTGCTCCGGCACAGGCTATTTTTATGAGAGAGTAAGTCTTAAATGAACTGAAAACCCCCATTACTGTAACAGAAATGATTCATAAGGCCGGGTTAAGAGAGGCTGCCCATGTTTGACTTGCACTGCACCACATGGATGTCATACAAATGTCTTTACCAGTGTCAGAATAACAGACTAAACTGGCATCAACACTTTAAACTAATAAACATGTCATCACATGATTTAGATGTCTTTAGAATGGCCTCCTAATTGTTTGGAGATAGCTCGTACTGATTGACAGGGATCCAGCCAACCACTGTGATGCAAAGAAGAAGCCAAGCACTCGCTTTGGAAGAAGTCTGGTTCCCTCAGCCATCACATACCTTAACAACAGACATCGCTGAGTGTTATTCAACTGAGTTTTTTCTTTTTCTTTTCCCTGTGTTATGTATTTTTGTATTATATTGGTTATGTTGTGTGTGTTACACAAGTGCAGTGCTGTGGAAAAGAATGACCCCTTGGGGACAATAAAGTTAAAGTTAAAGAAAACATCACTGCTGTCCTCTAGTGGTCAAACAGAAAATCCACAAAATATATGTATTTTTTCCTTTTCTTCACAATTCCTAGTTTCTGTTAAGCTGCTGCAAATAAAAATTTTTAAAAAACAAAAAAAAAACAAAAAAAAAAACATTTGTGACCCTTACTCCTTTTGAACTTACAAAAATGTCTGCACCCTGTCTTTCCTAAATTATATAATACTTTTTTTTCAGCTTTATATTTCAGTTTTTATTTTCCGATTAACTTCTGATGAAGAATAAAATAAAAAGGTAATTGCGAATTTTTCATCTCACACTTCAGATTTTTATTTTATTATTATTATTATATATAATTAATATTACATTATTAAATTTATATATATATATATATATATATATATATATATATATATATATATATATATATATATATATATATATATATATATATATATATTATTATTATTATTATTATTATATTTTATTTTTGAAAAAAGTTTATCTTTTAAATTGTTTTATTCCAGGGCGGGAAAAAAAGCTTAAAATTGCGAGTTTATATACGAAAAGTCGTCAGAATTGCGAGATATAAACTCGCAAATGCGTGAAAAAAAGAAGTCATAATTGCCATAATGTCATGAAATACTGAGAAAAAAAGTCAGAATTACGAGATGTAAACTCGCAATTGTGAGGAAAAAGTCAGATAAAAGGTTGCATTCAGGCTATCTATTATTTATTTATTATTATTATTATTATATTAAATAATATAGGCTATATGAAATCAAGTGTCGGGCTTTAAAAGTTATTGGTCATCAGCATCCAAATAGGTCATGTTCATGTCCGGATAGTTTTATTTGTTTTGATGACATTTTCGCATGTAGCCTACATCGGGTTGTTTTGCAAGTGCCGAATCCGTGTGCGCGTGCGTGTGTATGAGTTATTCGAATTTTAGTTGCTATAGCGATGCGATACAAATATACACAACCAAATATATACACAACACACGAAACAATCGCGATCTGTTGGTTGAGACGAGGCGATTTCAGAGACTTTTGTCGAGTGTTTTCTTGCAGATCTTGAGATTTCGAAGTTATTTGGCGGATTTCTAGGAGGAGACTTTTATTCTGGAAGGAGACCGAAGGATACATCATTTAGAGTTTTATTTTTTAAATAGTTCATATTATTTCTGAGGACACTTTTGTCTCATTGTTCTTTTCTTGTTTTATATTAGAAGGAGTTGGAGTTTTATTTAATTTTGTATTTGATTTTATTATTTCTGTTTTATTAATTTTTTTTGTATTTCTCAGGGGAGTTTTATTTTATTTTTATTGTATTTTGTATTGTTTCTATTGCAGGTTGAAGGAGGACGTTGATGGCTCACATGGGTGAAAGAGAAGGTGAGTGCTCATGTTATGATATGATATGGACTAAATTAATGTGCAGAAACTTGTGCGATGTAAGTTAACCAAGCCAATTTTTCCAGCTAAGTATTCACATGTATTTGATTCCTTGCATGTGAAATAAACCTTTCAATTTGAGTAACTAGAGTAACATTTTGTATTTGACCACTGACATTGATTATTATTAAAACATAACTAACTATGTGATGTCTGAAATATTCCAGCCTCAGGCCGCTCCAGATCCAGGAGAGCTGCTTCCACTCAGACGGCTGGTCTGGAGGTTTGGAGTCTCAGTTCTGATGATTTAGCTCCTCTGTCTTCTGAGTTTTCTGTTTCTGTGTTCACAGGTCAGGCTCACAGGAAGAGGAAGTGGCAGAGCAGGAGCCAGCAGAGCCCAGATGATGGATGTCCGTCCAGGCGGTCATGTGGAGAGTCGAGCCTTAGCAGCAGAGGGATGTACATCGTTGAGTGGAGGAGTGGCGATGGATCGGACAGCCCACATGAACAGGACAGCCTCCAAGAGATGATGTGCCCTCCGCTGCCAGGTCAAGTTCCTGTGGAGCCAACAGTGACCTCGACTGACCTAACAGCTCAGGGTGCCTTGGAGGCTTCTCCTGCGAACAAGAGCTCAACAGGTGAGTTTGAAATAAGGCTGGGGGGTGTAAAGTGTACTGACAGAGATTTTGCTATTTTGTGCGTAAGACTGCTTCAAGTTTTTAACAGGTTAAGGTCTGGTCATATTTGCCGTTGCTCAGCAATATTTAGCTGAAATTTTATCCAAAATATTTTAGTTGGACGTTCGTCTAACATATTTTTCAAAGCATTCACAAGTTCCCAAAATGTTTGCAAAATTATAAAACAGAATGTTCCCTTAACATTTGTATAACCAAGAAAAAAACATTTTTGAAACATTGAAAAAAACTGGATGTTAATACTTAATATTGTGAAATAAGACTTTGGGACATTTATGCAGGCATTAAGCAGAAACAGGGCCGTCTTATAATATGTTTGCATTATTTTGATTTGTAACATTAAAGATAAGAATCGAACAGTAAAATGTAAGTGTCATTTTGTCATTGTTTAATTTGAGGTCAGAGATGTTTCTAATAGATGTCTTTTCAACTGTTTTTCTTCATTTCAGAAAAATGTAGGAAGAGGAAAGGAATTTGTAGTTTCCTCATGAGCGTGTGGAAGGCTCTGAAACATCATTTCGGCTGCTGTTGTCACTGTAGTGCTGTGGATGTTGTGGAGCCTTTCGTCCCTCCAGCAGATCTGGACCCAGAGCCTGATCCAGATCACTCAGCCGTCAAGACAAATAATGGTAAATCCACAGTCATTATTTCTTGAACATTATTTTAAACAGTATTATCGTCTTGTTTTCCACTAAAAATATCTTAAGGCTTGTTTTCCGAGAATATGAATATTATTTTCCCCATATTAATATAATACAGTATAAGGTAACTACAGGGGTTAAGGTTAGGTTTAGGTGAAGGTTCAGGGTTAGTACCTAGTTATTGTAATTACTGTAATATGTACATCGTATGTACATGGGAAACAGGACTGTAAAATAAAGTGCTACCGGTAACACTTCAAAGGTGACGTAGTTACACTTTACTACATCTACTTACTAGTAATAACTGTAAATGATGCATAATTACAAGTAACTAACCCTAAACCAAACTCTAACCCTAACAGTAACGCTATAGGCTAGTAAGTACATGTAGTTAATTAATATTACTTATTTGAGGAAGTACAATGCAAGTACATCACCTTAAAATAAAGTGTAACCATATATTATTTATTCAAAGGATCTAGCAAGCTCATATATTTATCATAATTTTTCTGTTTGTTTTTCAGAGTCCTTTGAGTCTCTCTTCAACATAGGAGAGATGATTGGATCCGGAGGATTTGGCAGGGTGTACGAGGGAACACGGAAATTTGATGGCAAAAAGGTAAATATTACCGAACTGTACAAACATTTTGCTCTTGCATGCATCAAAACATATTTAAAAACAATTTACAGATGGTTTAATACCTAGTGCAAGGTCAGGTGTCTGAATTGTTAATGTTGTTTGTTTTTTTGCAGGTTGCCATCAAGCAGATGAGCAAGATTGACAACAATCGTTATCTTGATATTGTAAGTTGGCCAAAACCTGCATGTGTATTTAGTTGTTTAAGTGCTGATAACTGTAGTTAATACACCTGTTGGAAGCATTAGCTGTAAATGTTATAGACCAATAAGCCTAGAAGCACCAAATAACTTTGAGCTACAAAGGCTCTGAATCTACAGAGATAAAAGAAAAGTACATTTAGCAATGATATTTTCTTCAGATTTGTACCCAGCTAACCTTCTGTCTGCTACTTTTCTCTAGCCTGGGCATCCCGAACCTCTGGTTACAGACGTGGCGCTGCTGCTGCTGATGAGGCAAGAACCCAGAAGCCCCTACGTCATTCAGCTGTACGAGTGGTTTGAACACCCTCGGAAATTCACTCTCGTTATGGAGTACCCCGAACCTTGCGAGAGCTTGCTGGACTTCATCATTCGTAACCCTAAACTGGATGAACCAACGGCACGGGTCATCATGAGACAGGCTGTGCTGGCGGTACAACACTGCATCGAGCGTGGCGTTTTTCATAATGACGTTCATGCGGACAACTTCCTGTTGAAGAAAAACACGTTAGAGCTCAAGCTGATAGACTTTGGCTGCGGTCAGCTACTTAGTAGTGACGGCTACGAGAGCAGAATATACCGTGGTGAGCATTTTGGGAGTGTGGAAACCTGAATGTAGTGACTTACTGATTATTTGACACTTTAAATAAGCTCAACAATGCGCAAATGTCCTGCTTACAGGATTACTGGATTACTGCCCACCTGAAGTCTACACGGGACCGAGATTCCACGCCATCCCTACAAATGTCTGGACTCTAGGAGTGTTGTTATATGAGATGGTGAACGCATGTTCTCCTTTTGGCAATAGAATGGAAATCACACAAGCCAAAGTTACATTTGAGAACTCCAATTTATCCAAAGGTGAGAGAATAATATTGATATCTTTGATAAACACAGCTCTGTACAGAAACAGTTAAAGGTGAAGTACTGTATGCAAGATTTTTTGAACCAGTAAAAGTTGCATTTGTGATGTTTGAGTTGGAAATATGCTCTCTTTTTGTCGCAGAAACTGCATACTTCACCTTTAAAGTAAAGATAAAGAACATTTTACCTTACATTAATCATGTTTAGATGCTAAGTCACATAGTCATGACTAACCAGCTCTCTCCTTATTAAAATTTGTACAGAATGCAGTGATCTGATTAGCCAGTGCCTAACAAAGGATCCAACTAAACGGCCGACGTTAGAGCAGATGTTACAACATAAATGGATTAGAAATGATCTTCTTGTAGATTGGAGAAGTTCAGGAGATTCACTCGATCAGTGATTTCAGGTGTGAGGAAGTGTAACAGACAGAGTAGGATTATTACCATTTATCTTCAATTCTGTTATTTTTCGTAGTGAGATTTTCTGATTTGTGTAGTGAACAGAGTTCATTTTAATGTTCTTGTCGTCTAGTCAACTTCATTTATACAGCGCTTTATACAATACAGATTGTTTCAAAGCAGCTTCATGACAATAAACAGGAAAATAACAGAATCATTAATGCAAACAGAATTCAATTCTGCTGTAAAGCAGCTGTAAAAAAACATTTATGAGTTGACATGTTCATATAATTTTGTATTGGATAGGAAATAACATACTTGCTGTCCTCGGTGGAGGGCTTGAGCTCGTGACATGACCCGAAGCCCGAAATCCAACCTCAACTCGACAGGGAACTCAAGCCGCCACACCAGAGAGTTCAGAGCCTGTGAGCATGAGGGACTGCAAGACTGGAAAGAAAGAAGTCATCACAACCATATTCCCATCCTTCTCTTCCTTATCCATGTTCAACAAGTATAGAGTTAGCCGTAGCCACAACGCAGAAGTCAAGTCAGTCTGATCGTCAGAGACATCATTATTCACGTACCCACCAGAGATGAGACCGATTCAATGTCATTTCCACAAATATACCAGTGACTTCAAATAGAAGGTGGCATGGTCAAACAAACTGTAACAATTATAAATCAACACGTGTACACAATCTTTAAGTTGTTAAGTTAACTTGTTTTTATCAGGCTGTTAGACAAAACAGGAAGGGTGGTGGGTTAGCAGTTATTTTCTCCTCAAAGTTAGTCAAATACTAGAAAAGGTAGTTGCAGCGCCAAAAAAAAAAAAAAAAAGAGACAACAAAATCACATTATGGAGGAATTTCAGTCTGGCTTTAGAGCTCATCACAGTACAGGAAACTGCCCTTACAAAAATAATTAGTGACCCCAGAATAAACTCTCAATTCTAGTCCTTTTAGACTTAAGTGCAGCGTTTGATACGATCGATCATGACATTTTAATCAATCGCTTAGAAAAACTAGTAGGTCTTTTTTATTGTGTATTTAATTAGTTTAAAACGTATAATAAAGGGAGACATTTTTGTGTCAAAATCGGAGAGCATGTATCTGAGAAACATGAAACTCACTTTGGAGTCCCGCCAGGAAGCTGCCTTGGTCCTTTGTTTTCATTGTACATGCTGCCACTTGGTGACATTGCCAGAGAACATAATGTTTCCATAGTTACGCCGATGACACACAACTGTACATTTCTGTGAAGCCAACTGACACTGAGGCTATTACTTTGATCACTAAATAAATGGATGAGTACCAATTTTCTAAAATTAAATGAGGACTGACATTTTATTACTTAGCCCAAAAACTAAAAGAGAACTGTTGTTTAAGAATCTAGTTAAATTGACTCCTCGGGTGCGACCAGAGGTTACTAGTCTTGAGGCATTATTTTAGAATCAGATTTGTTTTAACTCGCAAATTAATAAGGTAACAAAATCGTTGTTCTTTCACTTAGAAAACACCTAAAATTGGTCCTTTTTTAAACCAGAAAGATGCGGAAAAATTAATTCATGCTCTTATCTCAAGTAGGCTCGATTATTGTAATGCACTTTTTACTGGCCTCCCACAAAAATCAATTAACAGACTCCAGCTTATCCGAAACTCTGCAGCTCGGTTATTAACTAGAACCAACAAAAAGAGAACAGTTTTGGCTGCACTGCATTGGCTTCCTATACAATTTTGGATAGATTTTAAAGTTCTACTCATCACGTACAAAGCTCGAAATGGACAAGGACAAGGACCTAACTATATTTACTAGCTCTCTCATTAATTATATTCCACCAAGAACTTTAGGATTGTCCAATGCAGGTTTACCCCCCCCCCCAACTAAAACGAAAGATAATTGGTGATGCGGGCATTGCAAATTATGCCCCTAAACTATGGAATACACTACCGTTAGACATTAGGGAAGCATGTACACTTACTGTTTTTTTATTTTTGTATCATTGTTAATAACTTATTTTTTTACTCTGCCATTTACTTAGTTCTACTATGGATTATAGTTTATTAAATAGTTTTTTTCAATGTTTTACCATTTTGTGTGTTGTGGAATGATTACTTTCATTTTATGGCTTTTCTTTATATGTTTTATATCTTATATTGTGTGATGTATTTAAATCCTTTTTATCTGATGTATTTTTTATGCTCAATGTTATTTTTGCTGTTGATATTCATCTGTGCAATTTTGATCGAAAGCACTTTGAACAACATTTTGTGTCTGAAAGGTGCTATATACGTATATATCAATAATTTATTATTATTATTGATTATATTTGCTTTGTTTTAAAATCAATTTTTGTATAGTAGTGTGATTTTACACTACTATATTTACACTCACCTAAAGGATTATTAGGAACACCTGTTCAATTTCTCATTAATTCAATTATCTAATCAACCAATCACATGGCAGTTGCTTCAATGCATTTAGGGGTGTGGTCCTGGTCAAGACAATGGCCCTGTCCCAAATACCCACACTACGCCCTAAGGTCTTCCTCGAAGTGGACACTTGTTGAAAGTGCACTTAGCGGAGTAAGTGCGCAAGGGCCCGAAGCTGTGAAGAGCAGAATTGGGACAGTTTTGCACACGTCACAATCTACATCACTTCTGTTGTGATCAGGGGAGCTAACACCGTTCATTTGGCTAATGTGTGCGCTTAGCTGTAACATGACACAATCCTTTGAATGAAAAAAATAATATATTTGTTTTACTCTTAGCCACCAACCTTTCCGTTAATGTTATTAATATTAAAACAGTTTTTGGCTAAGATAAATTGTGATAAGATAAATTGTGATTGAGGTTTACCTGAGCTTATACTGCCTTACCGTATTCACAATGATTCGAAATGCAATTTTAATTATGTTATTATGGAAATTGATATATGAAATTCTTCCCATCCCATACATGAAAAAATACATTACGTGTTGGTGATATATTATATATAGGCTATATATTAAAATAGTCTTACAGGCTATATGAAATAAAATGACACAACCCTGTCTCTCTTTGTTAAATTTCAGTTTTATTGATCAATAATAGCCATTATTAAAGTATAAGTAGCCTAAAAAGTATAAGAAGCTATATAAGTCAAGAAATAAAGCAAGTTAAAAGATTCAGTCAAACATGTCAACAGGCTAACGTTAAGCATTTGTGAAGCCACAACACGCACAACCTTGAGGCGGATGGGCTACAACAGCAGAAGACCCCACCGGGTACCACTCATCTCCACTACAAATAGGAAAAAGAGGCTACAATTTGCAAGAGCTCACCAAAATTGGACAGTTGAAGACTGGAAAAATGTTGCCTGGTCTGATGAGTCTCGATTTCTGTTGAGACATTCAGATGGTAGAGTCAGAATTTGGCGTAAACAGAATGAGAACATGGATCCATCATGCCTTGTTGCCACTGTGCAGGCTGGTGGTGGTGGTGTAATGGTGTGGGGGATGTTTTCTTGGCACACTTGTGGCCCCTTAGTGCCAATTGGGCATCGTTTAAATGCCACGGCCTACCTGAGCATTGTTTCTGACCATGTCCATCCCTTTATGGCCACCATGTACCCATCCTCTGATGGCTACTTCCAGCAGGATAATGCACCATGTCACAAAGCTTGAATCATTTCAAATTGGTTTCTTGAACATGACAATGAGTTCACTGTACTAAAATGGCCCCCACAGTCACCAGATCTCAACCCAATAAAGCATCTTTGGGATGTGGTGGAACGGGAGCTTCGTGCCCTGGATGTGCATCCCACAAATCTCCATCAACTGCAAGATGCTATCCTATCAATATGGGCCAACATTTCTAAAGAATGCTTTCAGCACCTTGTAGAATCAATGCCACCTAGAATTAAGGCAGTTCTGAAGGCAAAAGGGGGTCAAACACAGTATTAGTATGGTGTTCCTGATAATCCTTTAGGTGAGTGTATATCTATATATCTATATGTTTAGCTGTTTTTGTCCTCCCCTTTATTTGTACTTGTGTGTATATATGTTAAATTGGTCTCTTACTTTGTATAAGCAGCTATGTCTTAATAAAAAAGTTTTGTAAAAAAATAAAGCAATTTTTGTTTTTAAAACTTAAGACAATCATCTTTATTTATATAGTGCATACAGATTGCTTCAAAGCAGCTTTACAGTGACAAACTGGAAGATAATGATCAATGATGAAAACAATTCAATTCTCTAAGATTCAGCTAACAGTAGAGTCATTATTCAGCTGTTCATAGTTCATTCAGTTCAGTAATTGAGTAAAGTTCATCAATTATGTAATGAGTTCAATTCAGCTGTAAAGCAGCTCTGCAGAAAACAGTGATGTCATTATTCAGGATCTTAGCAGGATTATAAAAAAGTATGACATGATCCCTTTAAATAAATGCTTTCAAATAATAGAAAACGTCTCAGGTTACGACTGTAACATATGTTCCCTGAGAACAGGCACTGTTCTGACACTGTGTCGATGACGCTATGGGGAACGCCCTCCACGTGAACCGGTGTCTGAAACGCTTATCCAATCACGGCAATCGTTTTTGACCAGCGACAGCCTATGACGTCACTACTAGTGCGACCCGGAAGTATAAAAGTGGTGCCTAGAGAACATGTCATTCACTTATCGTCTGAAGGGACTGTTCAGCAGGCATCCCTGAGGCGTGGCGAAAAGACGCAGTCTCTCGTTCCCTGTTCTCAGGGAACATGGGTTACAGTTGTAACCTGAGACGTTCCCTTTCGAAAGGGAACTTGCACTGCGTCGATGACGCTATGGAGAACGATATACAAACCCACCATGCTGAGGGGACTGCATGCCAATTATAGCTGTGACAGAAACGTCAGAAATGGCAGTTTCACTGAAATGCCAAAAAACACTACCCCTTCCGGTCACATTCCCTATGGTCACTGCCCAAGCTATAAGCCTCAAAGAGGCCTCAGAAACAACTAAGGGCTACCAAGGCCGCTCAAGGCTTGAAGCCAACAGCTTCCATGGAAGGGGTTCCTTTAAGGGAATATGGCCAGGGGGTCCGAAAGGAATGATCTAACATGGATGCCTCGTGAAAGTCCTTCGACCTTCTGACCAGACTTAGGGTTAGTTTGGTATATATATATATTTTGACCAGGTTCTTGGCTAGAATCAGGGAGGCTCTAAGGGAGCCTGCAACGTGATGATCAGTTATTACTAAACATCCAACTCGTTGGCCTTCAAGGAGGCCTGTGAGGGCCTGACTACTTGATAGTGATACTTGTTAGCAGAACTAGCCTCAGACATCTTAGGTGTTCTCACAGAAATTCTGTGGGCCTGGTTTTCCTAGTTTACACTGCCAATGGGCAGTGTAATCAGCAGAAGTACTATCGTGGAGGCCTGTAGAAAGACCTACAGCTTCAATTGTCAAGAGCGGCAGCCCATGGCAGTGCTTAGGCTCTAAGGGAGTGTACTCAAACCGACCCAAATGGGAGGGAGTAGTGCAGGGTGAATAAACTAAAGCTGTGGGTAGCAAAAGCACTCCAATCATGACCCTAACAAGGGGAGTACTACCAGCATAACCTAGAGAATTTTTTTTTCTCTCTGGGTCGAGGCCTATTTATCTGTTTCATTGTTTCTCTGTTAAGCACAAGGGAAATGGTGGTCTCGGCTATGAGGCCTTGTGACTAGAGAGAAACCAGCTTAAGGCCAAGCTGGATAGTTCTGGCTATTAATTCAGCTCTGAAGAGTGGAGGCCTCAGCACACTGCTTCCTACTCTTTCCTTTCAGAGAGAGAAAGGCCTGACAATGCCCAGTATATACCTGCATGAGAGGCTTAGGAAATAGCATGCTGCTATTTATTCTTATACTTAAAGGGATACTCCACCCAAAAATGAAAATTCTGTCATCATTTACTCACCCTCAAGTTGTTGCAAACCTGTATGATTTTCTTTCTTCTGCTGAACACAAAGGAAGATATTTTGAAGAACGATTGGAACTTTGGCACCATTGACTTCCATAGTATTTTTTTTTTCTACTATGGAAGTCAATGGTGCCAAACAACTGTTGGGTTTCAATCGTTCTTCAAAATATCTTCCTTTGTGTTCAGCAGAAGAAAGAAACTCATACAGGTTTGCAACAACTTGGGGGTGAGTAAATGATGACAGAATTTTCATTTTTGGGTGGAGTATCCCTTTAACATCTACTAGCATTTATCGCCTAATGCAAAGGCGGGCCTATAGACGACTATAGTAATAAAAGGAGGCCAGTACCAGGCAAACTAGACCTTACAGAAGATAAACTGAAGGGCTGTAGCTCTAAAGAGCCTACACTCAGATACTGAGGGGCTCGGGTGCTTCTAGATCGCCTCCAAAAACTCCTAGTACACATGCCTAAGCCAGATATTGAAGAGCCCCCTGTGAGGGCAGACACCTGAATATCATATGTCTGAGGTTCAAAGCTATAGTCTCATTAAAACGACTCTCTAAAGTGAAAGGAGACCTGCTACAGTGTATCTGTACAGCTCATCTGCACGGAGGCATGCGTGCTGAATACGGGTTCTTCCATGGCTTCTTGATCTCAGTGTGTAGCTCACGGGAGCTGGGGAATTATGGCCAGAAAGGAACAGTTCATCGTAACTATAAGTAACTTTATAACTACATGTCAACTAACTCTCATTAGAGTATTAGTAGACTATAGTAAACTTTAAGTAGACTGTTAGGTTATGGTTAGGTGTTAGGGTTCAGGTTAGTAGAATAAGTTGACTTGTAGTTGCCAAGTTACTTATAGTCAGTAGATTATAGATGTCTATTGGGGGACCAACAAAATAAAGTGTTAGCAAATATTAAGCAGACAGTCTAGTAATACTCTAATGACAGTTAGTTGACATGTAGCTGCAAAGTTACTAATAGTTAGTAGAATATCTAAAGTGGACTATCGAAATTACCGGAAATCTTTATTCCGAAGTGAACTAATCCTTTAAGTTCTATTACTACTTCTGTGAGTCAAACTTTTTAATGGAAAAATATCAGTTCATTTGATTTTTACTGAAGCATCTTATAGTTAAACAAAATGGGCAAATTAATATGGAATTGAACCAAAATACCCTAATGAAGTAAAATAGACAAAACACAAGTCATCCGCTGATTATCAAAGTTTTTATTTGTAACGGAAAAGGTAAAGAGAGGCAACCCTACAAACACAATGTGAGGATTCACAATTCATCTGACCTTGGCCTGATGTTTTCACTCTGATACTCTTTTCTCCTGCATTCAAAGCTGTGTATCTGAGCATGATCAAACCTCTCTCACCCAAAAATACACAATACAGTCAAAATGAAACATGCAACCCTGAACACAAACAAGTGCGTGCAAAACCCTCCGCTCAGTCCAAATACAGTTTAAAGTGAAAAATAAACATATTTACACATATTTATCATAATTTCTTAGATTTCCCTTATTTAATACAAAGCAAATGGCAAATAAACTAAATGCGTGTGGATGGAGGATTTGTTGTGGATGATAGTTTCATTTTATGAAGGGAGAAATATCCATCAAACTAAGAATCACTTCCAAGTAATCATCAAACCCTTCAAACAGGTGCAAACTGAAATATATGAAACCGTTTGCAACTATTCACACACACAAACACACTAAGGAAACCAGTCCTGTATGCATTAGCGCTGCTGATGCCCACTTGTAGCATCTAACCATTTGAGTCACGGTTTATGGAAAAGCTCTGCAAATTTCAGCCAAAAATACAAACTATTTAAGATAAACCCAAGTTAAATGTCTATCGAAACAAGCTGTTTTCTAAGCATAATACAACATGTGGAAGTGGCAGGCAATGTAGAAATTCAACTGCAATATGCTGACTGTTATAGAAATAGCACACACTCTAATGCAGACGCCCCCTTCCAAATCCAATAGTCTCTAGTTGTGGGGTGTAACAATACCTGGAGGAGAAGACTTAACTGTGCCAGGTCCCAAAGCTTCAAGTGACATAATGCCAAACCACTCTTATTTGGCTCACATTGGAAAACGTAACAATGAAATCATCTTCTCCTCCCTATGCTCCTAGCCAACTAGAGGAGTTGGAGGTGGTGTCAGGAGGGCGGCTGATTGGCGTCTCAGTGGTGTGGGGACACAACAGAGCGAGGGCTACCGCTGGGAGCCAGGTATCTTTCCCTGGCGTGTTTCTCACAGAACATGTTGTCCTCCACCCAAAAGTGACCGCGCATCTTTAGGTTGAGTCCACATTCTGTACAGGTGTAGCACTCTGGATGACGGAAACAGTCATCTGTGATCCTCACAGCCTGAGTGCTGAAAGGGGAAGGAGAAATATAACTTTTAAAGTCACTGAACACAAGGTCTGTTCTATAACTTAGCTTTTCGCCTAGACGACTTTTGCCTAGACTTTGCCCGATTTATAGTCTGGTTGATGCTAGTTGCCGAAAATCAGAGCCAGTCTACAGATTTTGAGCAGTCAGAGTTGACAGATTTAGAGTATGATGGGCACAGACACCCATTTCTTTAGCTTCAAACTCTGATTCCATCCAGTTGGAGGATATCAAACATGTTTGATATTTTGAATTGATTTTAGAACACATTTTCATTTTACAGGCATCTCCTAGCAATAAAGCACATGTTTCTGTGTTATTTTGTTGCGTTCTGAATAACTTGAAAGTCCATACGGTGCTTTATGGGATGCTATTTGTATTACTATTACTTGTTGTATCTGTATTTGTATATGTGCACTGGAAGCCTCAGTACCAAGGAAAATTCCTTGTGTGTGCAAGCACACTTGGCAATAAAGCTCTTTCTGATTCTGATTCTGATTTTTAAACAGCACTGAAGTACTGGCACTGAAGTAAATTAGATTGTTGTCAAAAGGTGGTACCTTTTGGAACAATGTTCTTGAGGACGACACACCTAAGGTGCCTTAAAATGCTGTCTAGGTTTTGAAAAGTGTTTGTCTCACTTTATGAAGGTGTTGAAGTGTAATTCTCACATGGTAATATACGAACGAATAACCACTGAGATGGTTTTGTCTCAGTCGTCCTCAATCATCAACTTTAATAAACGTGAAAAGATGATGAGAACGATTCTTCCCTAAAGGCTAAACATCACACAACACTCATCAAGTTACCGGCTCATTAACCTCTTAAGCAATCCCAGCGTGCCTGTGCAAAGGACATACAGTACAATGGAGTGTGTGCAGAAACAGGGATTCAGACGTTTTATCTTACACAATACTGGTGCCACATTTTTCACAGGTGTGGTGTTTCTGCACTCCAGAAACAGGGGATGTGACCTTGGAAGGGCTTGGTGTCAACTTGCTTGGAAAAAGGATGGCGCCCTCTGTGAATACAAAAATAAAATGACAGCGCCTGGAGGAAAATCATTTCCCTTTTACCTCCACCCTCATTGACTTTGTTCAAAGCTCACCTTCACAGTTTTCAATGTATGCTTAAAGGACAAGTTCGGTATTTTACACTTAAAGGGATACTCCACCGTTTTTTCAAATTAAACAATGTTATTCTCTTATCTAAGACGAGTTGACACTTATTGGGAGCACTTCGACTCGGCGCTGTAATATCTTCACTCGTGAAAAGTCCTCTCCCCCCTCTCCCTCTCCCTGTCATTTCCGTCAATAGAACCAACGTGACCTGCACGCCTGCAGTAGCCTAGTAGTTTTTTGTGCAGAGTTGACGGAGGGAGAGGGAGAGGGAGAGGGGGGAGAGGACTTTTCACGAGTGAAGATATTACAGCGCCGAGTCGAAGTGCTCCCAATAAGTGCTATTCCGCCATACATTATAGTTATCCATTTTACCCGCTTATAAAAAGCACCACATTTTATTTAGTGTCACCATACTTGGTCGTGTAACTACTCGTATAACTATATTTAAATAGAGAAAACGTGGATGTGTTTGGTCGCTTCTAACTTCATCTCTGTTTGGCCCATATACAATGAATGGGGCTAAGCTAACTGCTTTCAAAGTTCTCTGCCCGACAGAGCGATTAAGTGCACGCACTGAGACGAGAGAAGTATGTATCAACTCGTCTTAGATAAGAGAATAACATAGTTTAATATGAAACAACGGTGGAGTATCCCTTTAAAGCCCTGTTTCAAGATCGTTTCTGATGAAATAAAACGGTTAAGATTAAAATTTGGACACATGCTGCTGTCCCGAGAATTTTTGGTTTCTGTGGTTGCACGCCCCCACCTCCACAATGGTTGCATAGGTGCAACTCCATTCACTTGACTTGGGAGAAAAACTACGATAAAACCTGTTGGAAAGCATCTTTTACAGCGATTTTTGTGTGAGCATATCAGTGAACACCACTGACCACTCGGTGAGTTTCACGGCTTTGTAAACTAAAGTTTAATGCGTTTTAGGAAGGATTGTTCCTGTGCACCTATGCAACCATTGTGGAGGTGGGGGGGGGGGGGGGGGAGAGGGGGCGGGTGCAACCACAGAAACCGAAAATTCTCGGGACAGCAGCATGTGTCCAAATTTTAATCTTAACCGTTCTATTTCATCAGAAACGATCTTAAAACAGGGCTAAGTGTAAAATACCGAACTTGTCCTTAAAAACATTAAGCATGCGCTAAAAGCTTTTACATCATGGTTATTTCGGTTGTCTTCTGACAACCAAAATAAAACATAACACTTTCTGATGTTTTTCTTTTTCCGATTGTTTTTTATAACCAACACTGTTTTCGCAATTTTGGAACAATTGTGAAAAATGTGAACTAGACTTTGTTAGACGTTCATTGAATGTCTAAGCCTGTGGCATTAATTTCCCAAAGCACTCTTTTTATGCGGTCTTACAAACCTTTCTCATCAGCTTCCAGCACCTCCTGCAGCATCTTGAAGGTGTTGGATTGGCGAGGAGCCGCACGCGATTCTTTGTTCTCCTGAATCATCTTGTACACCTCTGATTCTCTGTCAAACCTCTGCATGGCGAAGTCTGAGCTGAAAGAGAGAAAGAGTTCATTCATCTACAAGTTAAACTTGACACCACCTTAAAAACACAACCAAACAGCAAGACACAATCCAACAGTGATGTGTATATCTGTAGTAAGAATGAAGGGCCTCAGTAATCTTCCATCTCCATCTTTGAGTTATGTAGAAAATATACCCACATTAGTGAAACATTATGGAGGGATCAGTCCTGATTTTGTACTACAGAAGAGGTATGATTACAGATGCCTCTAAGGCAAAAGTGCTTATGCTTTCATGGCAACTTCATAAGTGATTCCGAGTCTATGGATAGTGTACAATGTCTGCTGTTCTATTTTGAGCGTATTATAACTCAGTCTTGACAAGAAACCAATCTTTTTAAAGACTACAAATTCAATATCCTTTATGACATGTTTCATATTAAAAATCTACAGTGTGTTTTTACACTGGACGTAGTATTTTACATTATGGAAAAACAGATAAAAATGTGCCTTTCCACATTCCTTGGTAGCAGAGATCTCTGTATTAACTAAACTAGTGTGGATTTGAGTCATTCCTGCCTAGTAAATCTCAACACATGATGTTTCCATCAAAGTATAAGACTTTTTTCTCTCCATTGTTCTTCCCTCACTCATATGGTCGACCCTAATCTCTCTGAATGCAGCAATCAGCAGACTGTACTTGGGGAGTAAAAAGATTGGGGTAGAATATGAGTGGGGCTTTGAGAAATGGTGTGTGTTTTATGATGACAGGGTTAATGGGCTGATTAGAGTGCAGTTACAGTAGCCGTCCAGCGGGAAGTTTATGGCTGCATTTTTATACATAGTCATAAACAGAGCTTTCTTGCACACATGGGCATCCTATAACTGCTTTACACATATTGGACCTTTGCCATACAGACAAACTAAACAGCCTAGTGGAAAACATACACGCATGAGAATAAACACTTTACCCACAAACATACACAACTGTTCAAAAGTTTGAGATCAGTAAGATTCAACTTTTTTTTAACGAAATAAGAACAAATTATCATCAATGTTAAAAAGTTTTTGCTAAGCAACAAATCATTAAAACAACTGAAAGGAGAAATGGCTGCTGAAAATTCAGCTTCTGCCATCGAATGAATAAATTACATTTTAAAATATAGTAAAATAGAACTTTTTGAATTGAAATATTTAACAAATTACTGTTTTTACTGTATTTTTAATTAAATAAATGCAGTCTTGGGGAGTGTTCACATACACCAAATGACAAGTAATATCACCCAAGTGTATATGGTGTGTTTGTTAAGTGGTATGAGTCTTTATCATCACATTCAAAACCTGCTCTTTCAACATTTAATAAACCAGTGAAGACTGTTACTGCATATCAGAGGATGTATAACAGACATGGGGCGCATTTGGTGCGCTGCATTTTTTATCGAGTAAAGACTGGGCTGTAGAGTGAGAGTCTGTCTCATGATCCCAGCCTGTGTTCCCCTGTCTTGTAAAGGACTTATGTTGAAGTCTATTCTATGTTCCCATTTGTTTCTGTGTTCACTCCTGTGTTTGGTTTCCATTGTTGTCTTGCCTGCCTTGATTGTTACCCTACCCTGGCTGATTAGCTCCTGATTGTTCCTAGGTATGTCTTGTTTGCCAATCACCCCTTTTGTATAAATACCCAAGTTTTTCTCATGTTCTTTGTCTGGTGTTGTCCTTCTATGGATGTTACATGTGTGCTTGTCAGCTTTGTTTGCATTCCTTGCCCATGTCTGCAGTGTTTGAAATTAACACCCGCCAAATGTGGATAAAAATCAACTGTGGTGGGTAACGCTGTCAAATCACAAGCCAATTTGGCGTGTTATGTTTACTTACTTTGCTGGGGAAGTTTGTGTAAGTCAAATCTGTGCACACTTAGTGCAAATACTCAACTCGTGAGTCATCGTGATCTATTAAATACAGTGCATAGCGCAGAATCTGCACATATCTGGCTTACTTGAACATGCCTATGAATACGCAACAAATAACGGCGTGCTTGTTCATTTGCATTGAAGCAATAGCGAAGATTAAAAAGCATTTGGTTAACAAAAGACATTTTTTGTACTGTATTCACTTTGTACTATATTGATCGGTCCACCTAAAACACATTTTTGGTGATAAGGATGAAAGATGAAGGGAGGAGATGCTGGATGACAGGATTTTGTTTGAAAAAGAAATGAATTATGAAATCTATCAATCCAAATTTTATTATAATTATACATGCATATTTATTTATATATATATATATATATATATATATATATATATATACACACACACATATATACATTATATATAATGTATGTGTATGTGTGTGTGTGCATATGTATGTGTATGTGTGTGTGTGTGTGTGTGTGTGTGTGTGTGTGTGTGTGTGTGTGTGTGTGTGTGTGTGTGTGTGTGTGTGTGTGTGTGTGTGTGTGTGTGTGTGTGTATATATATATATATATATATATATATATATATATATGCATGTATAATTATAATAAAATTTGGATTGATAGAGATATTCTGTATATATATATATATATGAATGAAGTATTCAGTAAGCTGTGACGTAGTTAGTGTAATCATGTTCATTTCTTGTTCATTCAAGTTCTGAATGGCCGGTAACTTAATTTAGAAGCCAAATTGGCGGGTGGGTAAAAAAAAAGTTAATTTCAAACACTGCATGTCTATTTATCAGTTATGCCTGGATTTAATATCATGTTTGTTTGAATAAATGTTTGTTGCATCTGGTTCCTACTGTCGCTCCTTTTTTTTTTTTCTGATCAATCCTGATTGACAGGATTGGCCTTGTGATAGTTTGCTAATGAGTTAGCTGTCAAAACAAATGTTATCAGGATTTCTGTTTTGTGCAAAGGCCATGACATGGGGTGAGAAATTATTAACCAGCAGCCAAAACAATCCAACAGGACTCTTGCCCTGACAAAAGGTGAATGCTAATAACTGCAACGTCAAACAGAGGCGGAAAATTACAAAATCAGTGTCAAATGAGATTAAAAGTGTCTGTCATGAGGGTTTTATTGAGTTTCTGGGTGTGGTTGTCACAAGAAACCAGCATGACAGCATCTCATAACTGACATGACTGTTTGCGTGTTGGAATGTGCGCTACCATATGGTACTGGACAAAAAGTAGCATGTCCAAGAAATGGCCGAAAATTAATAGAAAGAAGCATTTGGAATAGTCATTACTGAGGAAAAAGCATCTGAAGACACTATAAATCTCCAAATACATGGCATGTTCACTATCTTCATGCAGGCTGTTCAATGAGACATGCTTCAAATTGAAACCAGACAGTGAGTTTGAGATTCCGCTGAAAACTCTCCCAGCACCTCTCAGGGTCGACGGCTAAATTCATGGGGCACAGGACAACATTTTTATGGGTGCGCCACCTCAACTGTCTGGGACCAAAGAGTAGGTTATAGAATAGGGGATCATAGGAACCGGTTGTCCCCCTCGTGTTGCATGCACAATCCCCTGACATAAATGAGTGCTGCAGTAGGGAAGTATTCATGTTTCTCATTCTGAATATTTAAACGGCACCATTTACTGAAGTAAAGACGACACATGCATAGAAAGAACATTCCATCCATCTGCAACCCCCCACAGCTGAAATATGATTACAATCTTGCTAAACAGGCTTCAGATTGGAAAGTAAAAACAGTCGACGCAGCATCATTACATTACAGTGCAGAGAACAGAGCGGAGCGCTAGTCTCACATTACGATATTTCATCTTCCCCTGCAGACTAGCCTGTCATTTGCCATGTAAGTTCGAGGAAGATGTCTGAATAGTTTGGACTTACCTCAAAAGCAAACAAAGACAAATTCCTATCCAACTAGTTCAACTCTTGTTGGAACAACAAGAACAGAGCCTACAGTGACAACTGCACACACACATCTAAAACTCCAGCACAACACACACACCCCTCTCTGTCGAGTCTTGACGAAAGTTGAGAGTTTCAGTCTGAAAGGTGTGACTTTAGGCTGCCTAGTATTGGTTGATCATTTTCCTATTGGTTGAGCAAAACGGGGGTGGAGTCATTGGTATGTAGAAGAGGGAGAAGGGTGGGGGGGAAATTAGGGGCAGAAATAATATAATCAATTTCTAAAAAGCAAGACAAAGTGAGAAAGTAAAGGCATTTTTGGGACATTAGCCATGTAGTGCGAGTCATTTAGCCATCTGACAGAAGGAGCCAAAATAAATCTGTTCTGAGAACTGTTAAATTGATTTAAATACATTATGAAAAAAATGAAATAAAAACTATGCAATTGAACCAGACCTAACCTTCTTATTCTCATTTTAAAGAAATAATCTTAAATAAATAATTAAATACTGTATGCAATTTATTTCCGTATTACATCTTAATTTGTAAAATTAAAATTGTAATAATAATTTTGTTAGTAATGGTGATTAAAATGTTCTTCTGGGTGACCTGAGGAGAGAAACAAGGCAAATGTGCATATATGTACCTGCGTCGAGGGGAAACGGGAGGCTCTCGTTCGATGGGACTGTGTGGAGAGTATCGTCCAGGGGGAGTTGGAGTCCGACTTGATACGGAGTTACTGCGGAAATCCACGGAAGAGATCTCCTACAGAATACACAGAACGTAGGACAGGTCAGAATAACGCACTTTGCAGTGTTAGCTGTACATCCCTAAGATTGTGTGTGTATGCTCAGCAGATGTCGGAAAAATCCCAGGATCTTCCCTCGTCTCATACCCCATGCTGAGGCACCTGCAGTTGCTTAGAGACGTCTGGGGTTGAGCAACCTTGTGTGTGTGTGTGTAAGCTCAGTCCAAAGGCCAGAAATACTGCCACCCTTGTTTTTTTCTTAATAATGATAAAAACCAGGGAGTACCGAGATATTTAAGTGCAAATGTAACCAGCATCAGAAAGCAGTTTTCAAAATCGTAAAAAAAAAAAAATGACTACAGACTTTCAAAGACAGGATTCTGAAAAAAAAGAGGCTTTTTTTATGTTTATCGTAATATTTTAAAAACATACAATGGTATTTATTATTATTAAGTTTTGCAATCTGATTTTGTCAATTTGAAAGATTTTCTGTACAATGACACCAGTTTTTTAAATGTCCTACACTACAGTATGTGAAGGGTGAATATTTAAACTTTGGTGTGTTAAATTCAGGTGGAATTCCAAAATATGCCTTGGAGTGGAAGAAGAAAAAAAACACATACATGAATGTTAAATATTGCTTTTCCTTCAAGTAGCCATGCAGCAATCAACCCAGATTTATATCTTATTGAAAATCACATTCCAGCTCACGCCAGAACAGTTAGAACAGACTGACAGTTTGAACCATAGAAATACATTTCAAAATCCAGATGAAATATAAGTAGCGTGGACTTGGTTGTTGATTGGATAAAGGCACATCTGCAGTGACTGTAAGAAAGGGAAGGGCATTAAACGAACAATATGATTGGAGAAGTCCAGCATACATCACCAGAGAAGTCTGTGGTTTCAACGGAAGGTCAAGTTACGAAATGACCTTTACGTTACCTTCACACACAATACAAATATTCCACACCATAAATCACACTATACCAAAATCCACATAATGGATGTTTAAGATGATCTATTCCAGATCAATAAGTGTTCCAGATTGGATCCCACACATGTGAAAATGAAGAATTCTTTAATTGTTCTAGAATAGCTCCATTAGCTGATAAGAAAAAAAATACAAAAAGGTCAAAAAGGACAGAAATGCATTCAGATCTGAGAGTCAGACATTGTACAGGCAAATTCCTTAGAGTTTCCTCATGGAACATGATTTGATAAACAGGAGACCGTTTAAAAGAATTAATGTGGAGACAGAACAGGGGGACAAAGATAATAAAACCGAGCAGGTGGGAGAAACTGATACCAGGGGTGCAAAACTCCATTCCTGGAGAGCCACAGCCCTGCAGAGTTTAGTTCCAACCCTGCTTCAACACTCATAACCTGTAGTTTTCAAATAAGCCTGAAGGACTTGATTAGCTGGATCAGGTGCTTTTAATTAGGGTTGAAGGTAATGGCCCTATGGTAGAACTGTGGCCCTCCAGGAACTGAGTTTTGCACATCTGACTTAAGAGTATGTTTACATGACAACAATGTAAAACCGGAAAAGTTTTTCCTGCGTTTTTTTTTTTTTTTTTTTGCGTACAGCCGACAACGTTGTCAAAACAATTCCCTTACACATGGATCCAGGAAACCGACTACAAAGCTGTATTCATGTCAGGGCAGTTTTTGATGTCACTTAGTAAAGGAACACTACGTGCCTATAGACTGAACACACATGCGCATGTCACCGTTTTCACAAATTCGCTTTTTTGTAGTTGACACAGAGACAAAAAAAAAGGTATTGTTTTCAAAAACTTGCGCTTTGAATCCCATTTTCAAAAGTTTGCGTTTTCAGGCCCCCAAAAAAGCTGGAAGTATGCAGATCTGTCAACATTTCAGCTGGTCTCAGTGTCCAGATAATCTTTGACTGTGATCTTAGCAGTATTCTTGGCCACAGAGACTGAGTAAAATCGATTTCACATTAACTCTTTACAAGAGAAGCAGCTGTGTGGAAAGTTTTTCGTGCTGGTCTTGTGAGTTCCTGATGGCCGTGCATATCTACCGGAACTGTTGGGAAAGAGATGAGAGTGATGGAGAAGGCATGCTAACAGATGTTTGGCCCTAATGCTGATTGATGTTGTCCTGGGCAGCTCTTTTGACACCAGCTGTACTAAATAGAGGAGTCTGTTCCCAGGCCAGCTCCAAAATGACAACTTCCACCTGGGGCTTTTTGGCTCCATCCATCAAGTTTCACAAAAGTGCAGCCAAGAGCATTTCCGCTCACTTGAAGAAATTATCAGCTGCTGTGACGATCAGTTACACTGCTGGAAAGTTTTGGCGGTAAACACTAAAGCAAACTTAACTGAGAACAGATTTGCATTCAAAAATTCTTTAAAAGGACAACATGTACTTTTTTTGTATTTTATTATTTAAAATGAATATTTTTATTCATAAATATGTCCTCAATGGTGTACAAATACCTCTGCCAATTATCTGACTTATCCTCGTAAACGAAAAATTTATTCTCTTTATATACACTCACCTAAAGGATTATTAGGAACACCGTACTAATACTGTGTTTGACCCCCTTTCGCTTTCAGAACTGCCTTAATTCTACGTGGCATTGATTCAACAAGGTGCTGAAAGCATTCTTTAGAAATGTTGGGCCATATTGATAGGATAGCATCTTGCAGTTGATGAAGATTTGTGGGATGCACATCTAGGGCACGAAGCTCCCGTTCCACCACATCCCAAAGATGCTCTATTGGGTTGAGATCTGGTGACTGTGGGGGCCATTTTAGTACAGTGAACTCATTGTCATGTTCAAGAAACCAATTTGAAATGATTCGAGCTTTGTGACATGGTGCATTATCCTGCTGGAAGTAGCCATCAGAGGATGGGTACATGGTGGCCATAAAGGGATGGACATGGTCAGAAACAATGCTCAGGTAGGCCGTGGCATTTAAACAATGCCCAATTGGCACTAAGGGGCCTAAAGTGTGCCAAGAAAACATCCCCAACACCATTACACCACCACCACCAGCCTGCACAGTGGTAACAAGGCATGATGGATCCATGTTCTCATTCTGTTTACGCCAAATTCTGACTCTACCATCTGAATGTCTCAACAGAAATCGAGACTCATCAGACCAGGCCACATTTTTCCAGTCTTCAACTGTGCAATTTTGGTGAGCTCTTGCAAATTGTAGCCTCTTTTTCCTATTTGTAGTGGAGATGAGTGGTACCCGGTGGGGTCTTCTGCTGTTGTAGCCCATCCGCCTCAAGGTTGTGCGTGTTGTGGCTTCACAAATGCTTTGCTGCATACCTCGGTTGTAACGAGTGGTTATTTCAGTCAAAGTTGCTCTTCTATCAGCTTGAATCAGTCGGCCCATTCTCCTCTGTGCCCGGTTGCATAAAGCACCTTAAGTTTTTCCCTTAAGTATGATACTTAAGGGGCGATTTACCCTTACCTAAGAGAACAACTTAAGGGTGTTGCATATAATCTCTTAAACGGTTCTCTTAGGTAAGGGAAACATTTAAGTGTTTCACGACAGCGATCCTGGATTCACGTTATAAAAGTCTGTTGTTGCCATAGATACGCAAAACACTAACATGTCGGAATATCACGTGTCAGTCCAGTGACGCTATCACGCAACACCGCGTTAGCTCCGAACGTGGCGGCAGTTTGTGTTGTTCACCGTCTCCTGCTTTGGCATTTGTTTAGGTTTTGTGAATGCACTTCTGGCTCTGTGTCTCGAAATACAGCTGAGTATATTTCCATAGCATACCTGTTTTCTTCTGTCATGATTCCTTTTAAAACACAGAATCAGCTCGTTCTCCTGTGAATTTTTTGTCGGCCACACACTCTCCGTGCGCGCACTGACTTAACGTTGTGATAGTTTACATGCGAGTCGCCTGTAATGACAGACAGACAGCCGTCTAGTTTGATAGCGATGTCAAATATTGCGCGTCGATCAAATCGGTATTCTTGCAACAATTTTTCATGGCTAAATTGGTCCAAAGGGTTCTTCCTATTCCCTATGATCTTCAGCTGGTTTCATAAATTCAGCCATGTCGTCTTATTTTTGTCCGCGTTACTCTTAAGGTTACGATTTCCAAACCTTAAGTTATACTTAAGGAAATTACCGTTAAGGGGTTTTATGCAACACTTAACGATTACTTAAGTGAAAAAACAGCATTTAAGGGAAATTCTAAGTGTATGACGTTTCACTTAAAAAAAACGTTAAGTAACACTTAAGGGTATTTTTCTGCAACACCCTTAGGTTTAAGGGAAACATAAGGGCGACTTTAAGGGAAAATTACACTTAAGGTGCTTTATGCAACCGGGCACTGACCTCTAGCATCAACAAGGCCTTTTCGCCCACAGGACTGCCGCATACTGGATGTTTTTCCCTTTTCACACCATTCTTTGTAAACCCTAGAAATGGTTGTGCGTGAAAATCCCCAATGCATTCTCATCCCAAGGCGTCATATACTGACGCTTTTGCCAAAGCGTCTACATCCGACGCACATGGCACCCTTTAGCGTCAATATAACACGCTTCGGTTATGGGTAGGTTTAGGTCTGGGGTAGTGTTAGGGTTAGACAACTAGGAGGCGCCATATATCTGCGTCTCATATTAACGCTAAAGGGTGCCATGTGCGTTGGATATAAACGCTTTGGCAAAAGCGTCAGTATATAACGCCTTGGGATGAGAACGGGCTGAAATCCCAGTAACTGAGCAGATTGTGAAATACTCAGACCCGTCTGGCACCAACAACCATGCCACGCTCAAAATTGCTTAAATCACCTTTCTTTCCCATTCTGACATTCAGTTTGGAGTTCAGGAGATTGTCTTGACCAGGACCACACCCCTAAATGCATTGAAGCAACTGCCATGAGATTGGTTGATTAGATCATTGCATTAATGAGAAATTGAACAGGTGTTCCTAATAATCCTTTAGGTGAGTGTACATGGGACGGGTAGGTCCACGGAGGCTTCCATGTAGTTCCGCCATCTTGAAAAACTATA